TGTTCCATATAAACATTTGAAACAACGGCTATATAGAGTTGATGTTCATAAGATACATATATGCCAACTAAAACTGATCAAATTTTAATTTTTTTAAAAATATCACCATAGGGAATATCTAGAGCGTTATCAATGAAATTTTGTGTGTAAACATTTCCTTCATCTTCAAATACACGATATGTAATCTACTGAACTACTGAAACCATATAGTCACAACACTAAATACCTTGTGACTTAATAGTTGTATCAAGACAATCCATACTGGATGTACATATCCCAACAAAAATTGATCAGAATTCATTTCAAAATATTATTTAAGGGATAACTCGAACCCTTACTAATAATGATGGTATACATTTGACAATAGAAAAGTTTATTTGTATATAATCAGAGAAGGGATTTTGTGGATGTTATGATAATTTTAATAGTTGAATTCATAAGTCAATTGAAGCTAGATCATCATGGAAAACCCGGAAGCACTGGATGGCCGTTCCGTCTTAGTATGAGACTCCTCAGCAGTGCACATCCACGATCCCACCTTGTGAGACCTGTTTGTCTCGTACACGAACGCTTAACCTCTAGACTAATGAGCCGGCATCCAGTTAAAGTTAGACATTAACACCATTTTCTTGCTGGCTCAGTGGTTTATTTGTTTGTTTATTTTTTATTTAGGTACAACACTTCACGACTGATTATTTTATTATTTTGGACAAAAAAGAAGATATATTCAGGTCAACCATTTATTTTTAATAACGTTTATGATAAATGTAGATTTAAAAGACACATAAAATGATATGAAATTACTTTATAGCTTAACATTGATTTCAATTAACCGTCATAATAAACTAATTATAGTATCCTCAGTTTAACATTTGCTTTAGATATAAAACTGGCAAATAAATCATATTTAAGTAGATGCAATCAGTATAATAAAACTGAACTGAATACGACACTTGTCTGTTTTTATTACGTTAATATAGAATATGATATGTTTAATGGAGTTTTGTTCTTTGAGTTGGATGGTTTGATTGTGGAACTTTCTTCTGAATGATAACTTCAGCACAAACTTCAAGTAAAATATCACAACAAAAACCATCCAGCTCAAAGAATAAAACACCATCAAAATCATCCACTTAAGCTACAAATTTTCACCACCATCACAGAATATGAGATTTTTATAGTAGACAGTTAAGTAAAGATGTTAATATGAAACCTGTATAATTGTTTAATATTAAATCAATTAAATTAAATTTTAGCAACATTATTTCTTGGGATAAAATAAGTGTTTGTAATGTTCTAGTGTATCAATAGTGTTCAATAGTTGTGCAATATCTAATATATATTTTTCATTTAATAAGTGAATGATATTATATAAGAGTATACATTTTACAGCTAACTTGATTTCAAGCTATAGTTTCCCCCCACCCACACACACGTATTTCTTTTTTTTATTTATTCAATAAATTGGGATGTGCTATAGTGTTGTGTGCATAAAAAACAATATCAAAAGAACTTAAATTCACCCCATGGCACAAGCAAGTGGCTATCAGGACTCAGTAGCTGAGTGGATAACGCGATAGCGTTTCAAACGAATGGTAGTGGGTTCGAGTCCCAGAGTGAAAATCAACTCTGAGACGCAGGCACATCTAGCTGACGAGTCCCAAAATAGGACGAAACGCGCGTCAAATTGAATTCCACTGCTAGCCACTATCCATCTTTGCTTATAAAAGCTTGTGAATTAAGGCAATATCGATGCACATGTACAGTATACACATATGTCAATAACAAACTGATCAATCGCAGTCTTAAACCTCAATGGGAAGATAAAAGAAAAACAATATCAAGTGAAAGACATAAGTGGATAGATTGAAAATGATTGAAATGAAATCTCTAATAAAAGTTACACTCTTCTATATAGCTCTTACATACTAAATGAATGTTAAAATGTATGGAAATCCACTTTTAATGAAAATTAAGAAAATCATGTTTATGCTCAAATAGTTTCTTACAATAATCTAATTACATTCAAAACTAGCAAGATGGATTTTAAACAAGTCCCTCAAATTTTACCTTTCTATGGATGTTTTTCATTATTAATCTCTTTATTTTTATCCAGCTGTTAGTTAAAAGTGACCAAATCATACATTTAATAATGTAAGACTAAAAGTGGCTTTAAAGAGTATATTTTTTGCTCTAAAATTGTTTTGACTATATACAACACCATGTTTAGTAATATAAACAAAAGTAGACAAATTACATATCACTTGTCACTTTCAAATGATCATATTGATTTAAATATAACTTAAAAGAACAATAAAACAGGTATCTACAGGTTTTGTTGAATATATTCCAAAAAAACCCTATCACTTTGAGGATAAAATGCTCTTCACATTTTGATAGTATGATATCTAATTGAGAAGGAATAAAGTGAATGCAATGAATTCATTCAGCACGGTATACAGTGGACATCTAGGATGCAATTCGATGATCTAGACTTCGCAGATGATCTGGCTCTTCTATCGCATACGCAACAACAAATTTAGGAGAAGAAGACCAGTGTAGCTGCAGCCTCAGCAGCAATAGGTCTCAATATACATAAAGGGAAAAGCAAGATTCTTCGATACAACATAGCATACACCAATCTAATCACAATTGACGGAGAAGATTTGGAAGATGTAAAAACCTTTACATATTTGGGCAGTATCATCGATGAACACGGTGGATCTGATGCAGGTGCGAAGGCACGGATCGGAAAAGCAAGAGCAGCATATTTACAACTGAAGAATATCTGAAACTCAAAACAATTGGCAACCATCACCAAGGTCAGAATTTTCAATACAAATGTCAAGACGATTCTACTGTATGAGGCCGAAACCTGGAAAACTACGAAAGCCATCATCCAGAACATACAGATGTTTATTAACAGTTGTCTACGCAAAATACTTCGGATCCGTTGGCCGGACACTATTAGCAACAACCTACTATGGGAGAGAACAAATCAGATCCCAGTGGAGGAAGAAATCAGGAAGAAGCGCTGGAAGTGGATAGGACACACATTGAGGAAAGCACCCAACTGCGTCACAAGACAAGCCCTCACATGGAATCCTCAAGGCCGAAGAAGGAGAGGAAGACCAAAGAACACATTACGCCGAGAAATGGAGATAGATATGAGAAAAATGAACAAGAATTTGATGGAACTAGAAAAGAAGGCCCAGGACAGAGTGGGTTGGAGAATGCTGGTCGGCGGCCTATGCTCCATTGGGAGTAACAGGCGTAAGTAAGTAAGTAAGTAAGTAAATAAATAAATTCATTCAAAATAATCAACAAATAATCCAATTCCATTTTATCAAAATTTTTAGAAACCAAAGCAGTTACAACACTTGAATTTAACCTTTTTATACAAAAAAAGTTAATGGTTAACCTTCATAAACCTTAATAACTAAAGCATTTTGGACTCACTACTCTTTTTTTTTATTATTCAGTTCATTAGAATGACAATCTAATGGGTTCTATTCACCCATCTCTTCCATCTAATTTCCCTAGACTTTTTTTAGATTAAACCAACGGAAATCATCTTAAAATATTCTAGAAATGTCACTCCATTTATCTAGAAAGAAAACCTACTTTAAAAAATTGTATTTTGAAATTATATATACATCCTAAACTCAGTGCTGAGGAGTCCCACAATATGAAGAAACGGCCGTCCAGTGCTCCCAGGTTTTCCATGGTGTTCTAGATTCGACTGCCTCATGATTTCAACCATTGAAATTTTTATGATATCCACAAAAATCCTTCCGATGTTAGTCAACATACGCTCATCAGTGATGGTCTCCAAGAGGTATTTCCTGGAGTTCTAGTGAAAAGCAGTAACCAGTGGAGTTCAACTAGATCTGTTGTGAGATAGCAACTCACTGAAGACATTGGTGGATGCGTCAATCAATTTCGTGGATTGGTTGGAGTTAAACATTACCACTGATGGATGCCAGCTCAGTGGTCTAGAGGTTAAGTGTTCTCGCGTGAGACTGATATATCCTGGGTTGGAATCTTGCGATATGGAATCGTGGATGCGTATTGCCGAGTAATCTACAATGGCACGAAACGTCTAGTGCTTCTTGGTTTTCCATGGTAGTCTAGTTTCAATTCACTCATGATCTCAACCATTGAAATTACTATAATATACACAAAAAACCCTTCTCTCAATAATTTTTATTTTTAAGCAATCCATTTTGTTTAAATCACTATAGATGGTTCTAAGATTAATTCTTGGATCTGAGGTTGTGGATACACTTACTTGATGAGTCCTACACTCAGACAAAATGGTCATCCATTCCTTCTATTTTTTCAGTAATGGTCTAACTAAGATCAGTTTCTTATTTAATTTACAGAAATTAGACAATCTCGAATTCTTCTATATTAATAATTTATTTTGCGCGAATTCCAAATTATAAGAATGATCATTCAAAATCTATTAGGTTATATATTGAGCTGAATATAAACCAACGAAAGATCTAGTGAATTTTAGCAGTTGAATTTAAGCCAGACCACCATTGAAAATCTGGAAGCACGGGATGGCCGTTTCGTCCTAGTATGGGACTCTTCATCAGTGCGTATTCATGATCCCGCACACAGGGTTCGAATCCAGAATCTTCTGTCTTGCACTTGAACTCCTAAGTCGACTCGGAATTCAAGTGTTAGAATACTACGATCTTCATAAACTCTGATACCCAGTGAATTCATGATTGTCTAGAATAAATGTCATGTTTTTTCTTCATTTATGTCTCATTATCAATCACATTTCACAAACAAATCTGTTGAATATATTTGTATGGAAAAATTTGATACCCTAGCTTATAAATGATTATGCTCATAGAATTATTAACTAATTTTAGCCATATTCATCAATATATATTTCTGTCCCACTGAACTGTTTAGTACATCAGTGTGTTTGTCAAAAAATATCGGTCATTTCAAATCAATAATTCAGTTAACCCTAGACTTACCGTAACTTCCAATTGTAATGGAACCTCTTCATCACTTAATAATTTTACTTCAACCATAAAAAATCCAGCATTTCCATCCATATTTTCATGTGATAAAGTTCCCGTTGGTGATTTTGAACTTAAAGGAGATGTTGGATGAACTGACCAACTAATAGATGGAATTTGTTCAGAACTACGTTCTGATTGATTAGTCAATGATCTTGTCGGATATGTATCAATGGGATCCAAAAGAAGTTTTGCTGTATCATTGCGAACTTCACTTTGAGATCTAAAATAATGAAAAAAAGTAACTATTCAATTAACTTTGTATAAATATAAAACAATCAATGTTTTCACTACGGTTTATTATGTGGTTTCATATCATAAACATTATACTATTACTAAGTTTTTAGCACGTATACACAAGTGATTGATTTGCATATATGCAGTGATAATATCTATGTATTGAATAAATAAAATCATGCAGTCTAACTAGATACAATTAATTTCTTCAGGTAGATTAGAATGAATTTCAATATTAAGTTATCATTTTAATGATTCTTTTTAGAAGGCGAAGGATTCAGTACGATAAATGACAGTCTACTAATGTTAAATCAGTAACTTGAAAAAGGTATTAGCAAATGAACATGAAAAAAACATTTTTTGATTGAGATCATGAACCGATTGGTGTTAGACCACCATTGAAAACCTGGAAGCACTCGACAGCCGTTACGTCCTTTTGTGGAACTTCTCAGCAGTGTTTATCCACGATCCCCCCCGCGAGATTCGAACCCAGGGCCTTCAGTCTTGCGCGCGAACGCTTAACCTACTGGACCACTGAGCCGGCTCTGAGTTCGAATCCAGCAAGCGGGATCGTGGATGCGCACTGCTGAGGAGTCCCACAATAGGACGAGACGGTCGTCCAGTGCTTCCAGGTTCTCAACTGTGGTCTAACATCAATCGGTTCATGATCTCAATAGAAAGCTTGACAATCTCCACACCCCTAAACTGATAAATATTTTTTTTAATTGAGGAGAATTCATTTTTTGAGCATCAAATGAAGATAGAAACTAAATTCACTACGTAAATAGTCGATTAACTTTATCATATAAAAGGAAATATATATATATAGAAAACAGAAATAGCCTTATATAAAAACAATTATTAATGTTTTATAAAAATAGATGGATTATGGCTAATGGCTAAATTTAGGAAGCATATTTCATTTATTCTGGACTTATCATCAGAATGTACTTGGGTCCAAGTATTAATGTGTACATTGGGAATCGAACCTATAATCGTTCGCTTCACATGTCTAATGTGCTATTCGTTGACAAACCTCAACTAATAAGCATGGTTATGTATGGAAAACAACTAAGTTAAGAATAACGTTATAATTTCAAAGGTCAGTATATATATGTTCACATAGTACAAAATATATAATACGAATATACGAAGTTATATTACTACATGACTACTCTGATTATAAGACATTGATTTCATCAACCAACAATACTCATCCATACAACTGAGTTATTAAACTTGATCATTCCTTTTTATATTATCACAATATAAAGATTCAGTAGTACTGTTTATAAAAAACATTAGACGAATACATCACAGATGCTTTAAAATAAAACCATATCCTACCCAAAGTATACTCCTCATTATCTAATTTGTAGTTAACTATCAATTCAAACAGTTTACTCGAAGCAATCTATCAATATATATAATCAATAATTTTAGTTATCCTTTCAGGTCATCAAATGGGCAGGGCCATAATGTAAACGGGCACTATATAATTTATACTATATGGTAAATAAGTAAAGATTTACTTAGTCTGATATATATATATATATATATACCCAACAAAGTTCGTCTGAATTAGATTGTTTCATCACTACGGTTGACGCCCAAAGCCAAATTTTAAAATAAATAACAATAGTATACTCACATTTATGTATAAACATAGGGAATAGAATATTGTTGAAATTCAAAGGCGAATTTATTAACTTTTTATTTAAGTTAACAATATACCCAGTGAATTAAACTCGTGTTATTATGTGATGACACCCTGTTTCCTATTTAAATATTTCTCAATAAGTACAAAATATGTATTCAAATAGAGAAGTGTTCATAGACATGAATATCACTGATTATATATTAGAAAAACTATCAACTAAATGATCGATAAAAAAAATGAAATAAACAAAAACTATCATTATAAACAAAGATAGATGGTGGCTAGCAATGGAATCCGGGACTCATGTTTCGTCCATTTTGGAACCGGTTGTATGGATCTACCTGCATCCCAGAGTTGATGTTCATGGTGAGATTGATCAATTGCAGTCGTAAATATTAATCAGAATACTCAAGCAAACAATACAAAATAAATTTAAATCTTATTATAATTATTTGTCGATAATACTTTCAAACTTTTGACAATAATGAGAAGCAGTGACCAGTGGAGTTCAATCGGGTCAGTTGTGAGATAGTAACTCACTGATGACAATGGTGGATGTGTCACTCAATTTCCTGGATTAGTTGAAGTTAGACATTAACACCAGTGGATGTCGGCTAGCTCAGTGGTCTTGTTGGTTAAGCGCCTGGCGCGAAACTAACAGATCCTTGGTTCGAATCCCGCGAGGTGAGGTCATGGATGCGCACTGCTGAGGAGTTCCACAATAGGACAAAACAGCCGTCCAGTTCTCTCAGATTTTCCGTGATGTTCTAGCTTAAATTTACTCATGATTTCAACTATTGAAATATTATTAATAGTTTTAACAATTATATTTTCAAGAATTTAATATTAACTGATCAACAAGCTTTTCCGTTCCACTGTCTTTATAATTTATACTTGTCATGTAATAATCTATTGATAAATATATGTTGTGTAAATTGATATTCAGTCCGCGGAAACACAACAAGATCACACTAAAAAGGAAATACTAATTTATAATACTGTACGAGAGAGTGAGGAAAACCAGAAACGTTCAATGAAAATTAAAATTTATTATTAACTGTCACTGTTAGTCGTTTAATATGTTATCTGTTTCTAAAGTATATTATTTAGCGCCTTACTTCAAATAACTAATTCCATGATATTATACAGATAATAAGTCATGGTATTTAAATCCTTTTAATTTTCTCAATAATATATATATATATATAACTGACAACTGAGCAGTGACTAATGTCATGTCTGTCTAGTCCTCTAAGAGCTGATAGAATTCTGTGTACGAAAATCATAATGTGGCTACACTTCTAACGGAATCGACATCGCGTGTACAATGTTTTATAATGTAAAGTGGTTGGAACTAGTTAAGCTGTAAAATGCAGTCAACACGTAGAGGGCTTGACAGATATGACATGAGTATCAGAAAGGGTTTTTTTGAATATTATAGTAATTCCAATAGTTGAGATCATGATTCAATTGAAGCTAGATCATCAGGGAAAACCTGAAAGAACTGAACGAAAATTTCGTCTTATTGTGGGACTTTTCGGCAATACGCATCCACGATCCTATATCGCAAGATTCCAACCCAGAATATATCAGTCTTGCGCGAGAACACTTAACCTCTAGACCACTAGGCTGGCGTCCATCAGTGTTAATGTCTGACTCCAATCAGTCCACGAAATTGATTGACGCATCCACCATTGTCTTCAATGAGTTGCCATCTCACAACACACTCGGTTAAACTTCACTGTCCACTATTTTTCACTAAAACTCCAAGAAATACCTCGTGAAGCCAGTCACTACTGAGCATGCGTTCATTAGTATCAGGAGTTTTGTTCATGGAAGGGTTCAAATAAAGTTTACCGTAATTATATCGCCTAAAGAAAGCTTTGTACTTGTTAGCCTTTAACCTCAAAAACCTCTTATAGAATGGTTTCTGTTATCGAACTACTCATTTGTTTCTGATTGGCTTCATTTTACATGAGCAAATCTCATGAATATACTAATAAAGTCTTTATTTTTCTATGTGTAATTTACATATTCAAAATACTTTTTTTTACCTTTTATCACTGTACAATATCACAATTTTTATAACACCAATTAGGGAACTTATTTTACAAAATTATGATGTGATGTATAGAGTTTTTAAGAGGAACGAGACCACCCACTAAGAATTAGTATTTCTACGTAATTAACCCTGAGAAAATTATGCTAATTTAAAGAAATTAAGAATCTGTAAAACACTGAGCAAACTATATCAGCCTATGATATAATAATGAGGGTTCGAAAAGGAAAGGATCTCTTCAAAAAATTTGTTATCTAGCTGTACAATCATATATATATGGAAATTTTGTTAAAGTATTAGTTTCATGAAGATATGTAAACAAGGAATAAACATGATGATGTAATAGAAACGTTACAGTACTACTTTTTTCCATGTTTGTCTCTATGAGGCGGCTTGGACAGCTGCTTTCAGCCAAAGTTCTCCTGAAGAATGAGTTCCTCGTCAATTCTTTCAGTACTACATACCCGATGCATTCGGTAACATAAAGTGAATAAGATTCCTATTTGTGCTTAGTGGAACCCAGATATAGAAGTTGACCATCTAACAATTCCATAAATGAACCTTTTTGACGAACTATCACTACTCTCCGTCAGACGGACGTGGAGAAAAGAGGTTGAATGACCCAGCTCACTTTCTAATATAAAATTCATGGAAGGACGGCATGTACTGAAGGAATGTAAAATGTCTACCAGTTCAACATTCTCGTCGCAGATGATAAACATGTCTATATATCTCATGTATAGGTTAAATCGATTGATGATTGAACTAAGCTGGTTGTTTTTCAGCTTCGACTTAAAACAGTCTGCTAAGATTGGGGCCAATGAGGACTTCATTGTGATACCATCTCTTTGTCTATATATTTCATTGTTGAAGGTAAACTGGACAATTAAGGTACAACGTGGCTATATAGTCAGTCGATAGACATATATCTATGTTGATGGAATCAATATAATTACATATGTACCATGTAGATTCAGTTGAACGTACACCAGTGAGCAGAGAACTAACGTCAAGCGAGAACATGAGTTTTCCGAAAGTATTAGCATCCTTAATGCTATCAACAAATTAAAAACTATCATAAACAGAATATTTAAATATGTGCCTTTTTTTGAAAGATGTATCAAAAACAATTTCAGTTACTAGACTGGTGTTTATACATAACATTACCGTTTATACAAAAAATGCTACTTAGTCTACTGATGAAAAGATGAAATAGTGTTGCTGAGGAGTCCCAATCTAAGACGAAACACCTGTCCAGTACTTCCTT